TTTCATAAGGCCAGTTTCCCCCCAGTGAATAAATAGGGAGGGAGAAACTCGTGAAAGGGGTATAATGGACTAGTAGAAAAGTTTCTTGCGACCAGGTGAATTTGAGAGGCCAGTTTTTTGGTTTGTTTTTTTTTTTTTGGAGAGGTTTTTTTTACTATACGGAGCTTGTGCTCGCCAGACAGACAGAGACAGAGAGACAGAAACCGAGAAATCACCCCCTGGGGGGATGGTCATGCCTAATCCCTTCTCCTCCATTCTCCTCTTGGGATCTTGGGCACGCATGCACACACGTCTGGCGTGAGTTTTAAGCCACCAGGTCCAGGACGCAAACCGTGGTCGACTATGTGGGAGTCCAGCGACATAGCCATTATGTTAACTGCTGGTTCCCGAGAGGCCAATTTTGTAAGTCTGATTACTATAAATAAATTATTTTGGAGTGATAATTAAATTATGGCTAAATACAATAAGCCAATTGATTGGAAGAGGGTGTTTTCTTTGTGGTAATGTAATAGTTATGTTGGCTACCTGAAAGTACTCTATCGCTATAGTAGGGATTTAAATGTACACATCTTAATGAGTTGTTAAATAGACTTAAAAGTATGTAAAAAAATGATGGACTCTCTGTGGTCCTAGATGAGCATTTGACCCTAAGTATTAACATCCGTTAACACCCCAGAGCCCCATAAAAGTTGCTACTTTGCCCTAAGTAAGATAGAGCAATAATTTGGGAACCAGCAGTTAGCGTAATGGCTATGTCGCTGGACTCCCACGTAGTCGACTGCGGTTCATGTCCCGGACCCGGTGGCTTAAAACTCACGCCGGGCGCATGTGCGTGCGTGCCCAAGATCCTGAGAGGAGAATGGAGGAGAACGGATTGCAGCGTGACCATCCCCTCTGGGGGGTGATTTCTCGCTTTCTGTCTCTATGTCTCTGTCTGTCTGGCGAGCGCATGTGCCCTATAGTGAAAAAAACCTCTCCAAAAAAAAAAAAAAAAAAGATAGAGCAATAATTTCACCAGTCTCGCTTTCCAGCCAGCATATTTTAATAATAGCTCAAACCATAATCAGATAATCCCAATATCTGAAAGCTCAACACTGCCTAAATTCACATTTTTCCTTTCCTGCACAAACATACTAAAGGACAAACATGTATCACACCTTGGCTGAAATTTTTCACCTCTTTTAACGTGCTTTAATTCTGTTTTGAGGGGTTTTGAACCTTTGGGAGTATTTCTAATGATGAAGTCCAAAGTACAGAGGCACAGGTTTATTGTAAAAGAAATATGTGTCTGAATTTAATCTCCTTAGAAGGAGTAAAATGTTTTGGGACCAGCTACAAGTTGATTTTTTACTAATTTTGTTTTAATAAGATAACACCTGATTGTATATCTACTGTTGTTGCCTGTGTACTGCAAGTAAAAATAATAACATGAGTATTTAACTTTTTCACAGATTTTTTAAAAAAATCAATTTTTACCACCTTTCTGTTAAAACAAAGTTTACTATTCCTAATTAACAAACAACAACAAAATCCTAAAGCATAAATATTGAAGAATTCTATACTCAAATCCATCAAGTTCCTTTGACTGTTTAATTACTTCAAATTTGCTTTTTATCATTTCCAATTCCACCTGCTTTGTATGCTTGAATTTACTCCCTATCAGAAAAATTCAACTCAGCCATCATGGATTGAAAATCTTGTTTGTTTCAGACATCTAGAACTTTTTTTTTTTAATTTATTTGTTTACGTTCATTCACTGTACATCATTACAGCATACAAAATGTGATTTCCCATCCAGAGTACACTGTATATTGTCTCAATCAAGCACATCAACATACATGTTATTGTCAACAAATAATTTTCCATTTCTTGTTTCCTGTATGTTTTGCTTCCCCCCCCCCATCCTTTATTCCCTATCTCTTACCCTCTGCCATCTCCCACTATCTTCCCACACTGTCTCTGGTATCTATGTTTACTTTCTATATTCCCCCCCCCCATTTTTTATTGAATTACTAAAGATATTAATTAATCTAAATGTTTTCATAGCAAACACAGCTGATATATACATTTCCATGAACACGAGTCTAACTTTAGGCATCCTATAAAGTATCACCTAGCTGGGGCTATATATCTTAACTGCAGTCATCGAATGGATTTTTTTTTTTTCTGAAACTTTTCTTTTGTTTTTTGTAACTTAATCATACAAAATGTGATTTTCCATCTAGAATATACTGCATAGTGACTTAATCATGCATATTATTATCCAAATTTTTCTACCCCTCTTTCTGACCCTCTGTCCTTTCCCACCCTCTTCTCCCACTGTCTCTAGTGTCTACAATTGTCTTCTATTCCTTTTCCACCCACATTGTATTGATCACACAATTTCTTAAATAATCTAACTACTTTCAATGGTAAGTTCATATG